TGACTTACAAAATATAATAATATACCTAATCACATTCTACAGATCGTTATATCACTTTGGACAGTGCTTTTGGGTCAAAAAATATTTTTGTGGATATTATCTCTATCATTCACATCTGTGCTGTGATACAGCAAAAAATCTCAGTTTGACAGCAAAAATGTCTTAAGTTTAGCTGTAGCTGTCCACTAATACTTTCAGATGATAGTATTCTTTACTTTTTTTAAAAGGTTATTTTATAATTCATAAAGCACATGCCACAGGCCATAAACCTATGGCTTGACAGGCTGACAAATTCGATCTTCAGTGGAGATGGGGGAGGTAAGAGCTTCCTTTACTTGGTAATGTTAGGACTTCTATAAAGTTTGAACCAAGAAGAGATTTCACTGATTTGCACCTTGCCCTACCCTAGTTTCTGTATGCATCTCTGTAGAATTCATCCCATCCTGTAACTCTGCCTATTTCAAGTGTTACCTCTTTTCCCACATGTTCTTTCCCACCTGTCCTGTGAGGAGATATGGGCTTGAGTACCAGGGACAAGACAAAGGAGAAAAAGGCAGCAGGAGCCTGAGAGGACAGTGCTACAGCCCCTCCCAGCCAGCAGTGGTCGGCTGAGGCTGGGGTGTCCTAGGTATCCGATGTCCCCTGGAGCAAGGCATCAGTCACATCCTTTCAGGTTGTTACAGATATCAACACAACTACGTTTTCTTACATGGAAAGTGAGGTTCATTTTCTCTGCCATGCAGGTTTCAGGCTCATTTTCATCATTTGATCCATACACAAATGAAGTTGGGTTTACAAACCTGACAGAAACAAATGCAAATTGTAATCAGCTCTGTTTCAACAAGGTATTATAAACAGTCTTTCTCCATAGACTGTATTATAGCACATTTGAAAGGCACGATGAAATACTTTTGGTTTTGCGATCAGATATGAATTTTATAGAAAAAGTAATGAAATTAGAAGTCTATGTGCTCTAACATGGGTGACAACATCCGTTCTCACCACTATCCTTTCCTTGCCTTCCCCAGTGCTGAACCTGGTTCATTCCAGTGACCATTCCTTCTCTTTCAGCCCTTAAATAATTCATGTAAATTTGGCAATTATGGGATGAATCCTTAGCTTTTCCCTAGGGCTCTTATACCTCAATCTATGTTACCTACTTTTGAGTTATTTCTTCCCATCCCATGATTCCTGCTGGCTATTTATAATGAAGCCCAAGTTTGAGGAACAATTCAAACACTAATAAGTATGATAAATTTTTTGTTAGACTACAAGGTTGTCACTCTTTTTGTTAAACCTCTGGTTAGACATGTTTTACACACAATAAACTTTAAGAAATATATTTCTAGAAAAATCCCTACTCCACAAGTTGCTCATATTTGGCAACTAATCTTAGGTAACACCAAATTAGAAACCCATTAAATAGCAACAAAATTAGAAATATTTAACGGTATAGATTTAAGTAGTTTCACAGTTATAGAGAATTCCTTGCCCAAAATAATGAGATGTGAATAATGGGAAAATAGAGCACCCATCATAAGAAAATCAAAAAGGGGAGGCAAGATGAACATTCAAAAACTAGGAACCATACAATCAACTTTTATTTGCTTAGCTACTGACTCCCTTGGTCCTACTCCCCTAGGAATGGCTTCCCCCTGCTCCATCTGTTTTATCTCCCAAACTTGATACTCAATTCCATTAGTTTCAGATACTGACATTTGACAGTTTTGTAACTATATACCACCTTTATGGGTGGTGAAAATGACTGGGGGATGGTTTCTATTTAGAGCAACAAGAAATGCTCATCTATATTCATTTTGTATCATATCTTCTATTGCTTTAAAGATATACCTTTAAACAAAGACTAATAGTGTGAATAATTTCCAGTGAAATCACTGAAGGTTGACTTAAGCCCCCTTTCATTCTTTCTCCACACACCCCCTTCTTTTATCAGAGGAGGAGCCACTCAATCACTAAAATCGTGGAGAAGCAATGGATGCTGGTACTGGGGCAGCGGTCGAGGAACTCAGCGATCTCACAGGTACAAAGAGTGGACAGGGACACCTTGAAACCAGCTCCCTCAAATCACAATCCATTTGCCACACAGGTAGATATGGGTCCTGGAGAATGGTGACTTGGCTGAGCTCACATTCCTTTGAATGTCATACTTGCCATGGCCACTGTGTATGATTAGGCAAACTGCACCCTGCCTAACTCCCAGTGCCCACAGATTGCACAATAAGCAACTGAAAGGCTGAACGTGGCCTACCAGATGCTTGTTGGGGCTCTTCTAGTAAGAAATCTCCAGCTGGGCACAAGTTTGATATAGTATCTGTAAGGATCATAGAGTGGATTAAAATAATGAACAGTTAAGCAAGGGACTGCAACACTGAAGTGATTGCTAAGAAATAGGAACAGTATATAATCCTTTTTATTTAAAATTTTAAAATATGGTTTTGTCATTAATGTGAGCAGCAGTGGAATTGAAAATCAGCTCTAATCTTTACAAGAGGTCTCTATGTCTACTTACCCATGAACGTTAAGCATAACCTCGTACTTGAGAGGTATTGCCACGGTCACTTTGTTATGCTTTAGATTGTCCACATCCCCTTCATTTTCACTATACAAACAGAAAGTACCCTATTAGAATCCATCAAGCATAAAAATCATCTTCAGA